GCGCACGATGCACCCACGGACGACTCTAGCGCACTCGGCAACCCTGTCGGCTCGCTTACTCATCCCTACCGGTTGAAAAGACCGCACAACGATATGCCGGTACAAGATCGTTCTCTCCGCTCATAGATTTACATCTCTCTTTCTTTCGGTCACGTTGCTCCTTTTCGACGGTTTTGCCAGCAGAGACTGACCGTGACCAATTATATCGCTCGCCGTTGCATTGTGCGTCATGCTCCGCACAACCTGTTAAGGGAACATATGACACGAATTTCGAGCTGGCTACCATACAAATTTTACAGGGTAATCGGTTCTTAAGTTCGATTTATATCGGTTCTGAGTACCAAATTGGTACTGAAGTTCGATTATTTTTCAAAGATTCTTCTCTACAGAAGCTACAAACCTGCTGTCTCCCATTACCAATAAATATATTTAGATAAATCTGTTGCGCTCTGTTTCGATTAACCCTGACTGTATTCGCCTGAACGATAACTTAACGATATTATCGGCACATTATCGATATCATATTCCGATACGATCGATAAAGATATCGAGAGTCATACCTCTGGCATCACGTGGGTGTACGATAAACGCTGTTGCTCGAATAACCTGTACCCCATGATTTTTACCGAACGTAACTGAAAGTCGTCGCGCAAGAGGAGAAAGGATCGACGCTGACTTCTTCTGTACAGTCAACAGCAAATCTGGTTTCTCTATGGAAAATGTGACAACAATGGGGGTGTTTTACTTTTGATAATTTATAGGATTTTTAGTGTAAGTTAACTTGAGGACGCAGATATCGCTCGACTTTGGGATTTGAAAGTTTGAAGTGTTTGAAATTGGAGGTTGAAGTCTAAGTGTTTTGTGGTAGAGTTTGAAGTATATTTTCAAGTATAATTTGATGTATAATTTGAAGTATAATTTGGAGTATAATTTGGAGTATAATTTGAAGTATAATTTGGAGTATAATTTCAAGTATAACTTCAAGTATATTTTCAAGTATAATTTCAAGTATATTTTCAAGTATAATTTCAAGTATAATTTGAAGTATAATTTCAAGTATAATTTGAAGTATAATTTCAAGTATAATTTGAAGTATAATTTCAAGTATAATTTGAAGTATAATTTCAAGTATAATTTGAAGTATAATTTCAAGTATAATTTGAAGTATAATTTCAAGTATAATTTGAAGTATAATTTCAAGTATAATTTGAAGTATAATTTCAAGTATAATTTGAAGTATAATTTCAAGTATAATTTGAAGTATAATTTCAAGTATAATTTGAAGTATAATTTCAAGTATAATTTGAAGTATAATTTCAAGTATAATTTGAAGTATAATTTCAAGTATAATTTGAAGTATAATTTCAAGTATAATTTCAAGTATAATTTGATGTATAATTTGATGTATAATTTCAAGTATATTTTTAAGTATAATTTGAAGTATAATTTGGAGTATAATTTCAAGTATAATTTAGAGTAGAATTTCGAGCAGAATTTTGAGACCAAATATGAGGATCTGTAGATCTCAGGACCCGAAAATCGAAATATTTGAAACCTTTGATTTCAGAACCTAGGTCCAGGAAAATAATTTAGAAGCTCAAAGTTGAAGATTCGTAAACTCGAGTGCGCAAAAATGTACAAATACGAAAATAAGAGAATTATGAAGTGTCCTTAACGGAAGGAAGCCTACGTTGCACCCGAGTGTACGAGGCAAAAGCAACGGCAAGGCAAGCCAAGGCAAAGCAAAGGGAGAGCATTGGCTGCCAACCGGCATAGAAGGTCTGTGACCTCGGCAATGCCTATGCTACGCCGTGTACGCGTTGCCCGCGTGTACCGTTTCAAAGGTGATGTCACGATCGGAAAGGTCCTTGAAGAAGCGAGTACTCTTTATGAAAAATTCGTTTCCTGTTATGGGTAGAAGTTTAAAAATCACCGACAGTAGAACACGCTTCTGTCGAACGTAAAAGGGAGAAGGGGGATTTGCGTCACTGAACGCGAATGCGGTGTTTAGAATGGTATCAATAGTTGAGGTAACGGGAAAGTTTCGATCAAGTAATATAACCTTAATGTATTGATTGAATTAATCTATTGGTTGAATTAATGGACCATCTGTCCAAATGACCGTGACTCTGTGAATATCTTCGACCACCTTCGTAACTGAGCGAAATAAACCTTCAGATAGCTGACAAATTTACAGGCAATTAAGTTAAGATATTTTTCAACAATATCGTTGCGATCGTGCAACTTGAATTTCCATTGAAAGTTGCAACCTTAAGGATTCCGTACATAAAATCACGGTAATTGTGTTTCCTGTCGATCGCATATTCTTGCGTTCACCGTAATCGCATACCTCGCAGCTTGTTACCGCTATTTACGACTGTAATAGTTTTGTTGTTAAGTGTCTTTGCTACACGTGTATTTCTTGGCATACAAGACTAGTCCTTGAGAGTTAACTGTCATACTAATACCTTGTTCTCTTATCGCTGTTCGATTGAAATGCAAACGTATTGTTGTTTTATACAGTCTGATATTGTTAATTTATACCTGTTAGTCCACTCTGCTTGAATATTTCATGCTGAACACCTGGCGATATATGCAATTAAGCTTTTTCATAATTTCTGCACTACTGGCTTTGGATAACTGGAAAGAATACGAAATTAATCATTGTAACGCAGGTAACATTCTAATTAACCTAACCTATACTTATTAACCTAACCTATACTTATTAACCTAACCTGAGAATCTTATTAACATAACCTAAGTCTGAGGTTCAACATTGTACAGAATTAAATTGAAACTTGCAGTATCATCCAGAACGTAGGTTTTATAAAAGCAAGGGTTACATTAAATTTAAAATAAAAAAGGTAACATTGTAATTAACCTAACCTACACTTCTTATGAACCTAACCTAAGAATCTTATTAACATAACCTAAGTCTGAAGCTTAACATTGTACAAAACTAAATAGAAACTTTCAATATCATCCAGAACGTAGGTTTTATAAAAACAAGGGTTACATTAAATTTAAAATAAAACAGGTAACATTGTAATTAACCTAGCCTACATTTCTTATTAACCTAACCTAAGAATTTTATTAACATAACCTAAGTCCGAAGCTTAACATTGTACAAAACTAAATGGAAACTTTCAATATCATCCAGAACATAGATTTCATAAAAACAAGGGTTACATTAGCTTAAAGTAAAAGAGGTTCCATTCTAATGAACCTAACCTACACTTATTAACCTAAAACATAACCTAAGAAGTTCAAAATTGTACAAATTAAATCGAACCTAAATAACAATGACTTGAAATATCATTCAGAGCGTAGGTTTTATAAAAGCAAGGGTTAGCTTAAAGTTCGTGGGTCATCGATGACCCACACAGTATCCGTTAATAAACCGTTCGTGCTTCAAGGTATCGCCTCTCACGTCGTCCTTCGCTTTTAACCTTTCCAGGTATGCCTTCAAGCACAGATACTGTGAGAAGTGCATTTCAAACATGTCGAAATCAAAATTGACGTAGTTATCTTTTACACCAATGATTTTTCACCATGACTTAATACTTCTGTAGGGGATAACGCTGCAACAGTTACATAACTCGATTTAAAAAAGCGTTGCACAGAAAGGTGCGTTCACCAGATTTCCACTGTGAAATCATGTGTAACTTTTGCTCAAAACATTTTTTGGTAACATCAGCATTTTCAAAGATACTCGAATTACAGGTTTATTCAAAACTTTATTTCGATACGGATGACATGTTTTCGTGTGTTAGAAAGTATTCAAAACTTATTTTAAAATGTAGTTTGTCTAGTAGAACACTTGCTTTGGATTCCACATGTGTACTCATCCATGTTTGATTCCATTAAAACTAAATTCCGCTGTTGACAGATTAAATGAAACACCCTGTATAAAATGCGATTGTGATACAATCATGTGACTGTACTATTCAATTCCATTAGTGCAATAACAATCTCCAGTCCAAATATTTTTAGAAATGTTGAAAATATGACGTTCGGGAAGTAAAAGACGTTGAAATCAGAAGCGTATAATTTGTGAAGAGAAGCCAAAAATCGGTTGAAGAGCGTGCAGAGAGGAGGCGTATATCTTCTACCGTTTGACGGTTAGAGGCTCGAAAACGAGTGGAAGGTGCCGGCACAGGGTCGTCGATCGCGTTGCGTGCGGCGAAGGAAGCAGCGGGAAGGGTTGAAGGCTGGTGTGCTCGATCGTGGACGACCGCGTGGTCCGAGAAAGCCGGTATCGTTCCTGGATCAATAGCACGTGATCCTGCTGCGACCGGCATATCTCCGTCCTGTGCCGGCCGATATAAACAAAGAAACGTGGCGCGCAGCGTACGCGCCGGCTGCCGCGCATCGATTTTCCCTCGTGTACGCGGCATCACACCGCTCGAGTGCCTACGTACGATTTACGGTAGGCCGCGTTGACCGACGAGCCGTGAGATGCCGTCAGAGGATGCTCTGAAATTTCCCGAAATCGTTCCCGTCGTTAAACCACTGTTCCCTTTCATGGAGATTGATGGGATGAGGCTCCAAATCTGTTTGATATCCTACGTGATTCAAACCTGCGTTCTATTGATGGGCACTCGTGATTACCCATCAAGGGTACTACAACCGTAGACCCGAAATTTTCAGATTTTTATTATACACGATGTCTTTGAATCTTACTGTAGTCCTTTCAATCGGTGGAACACAATGGTCGAAGTCTGATATTCAACCGAACGTTGCGTTCTATCATTGTGATGGACCAAGTTCCCATCAGAATAAAGATTTTAGACTTAATTTTCAAAAGTTCAAATGTCCCCGAGTCTCTCGATGGTGCCATGTCCTATTGTAGTACAAGAAGAGATAATCTAAATTAATGGAAAATTATAAGTTATTGAGGACAATCCAGTTAACTCTAGATTGAATGTTTGTCACCGAGTATCTGCAAGCACAAACATAATTCTTAGTCCATGAAGTACACGTTATTGTTCTGATTTCAGGCGAATGCGGCAGTGGTGTTCAAATGCACTTGGCCAGGTTGCCTGGAGATCAAAGCGACCGTGGCGCTTATCGAGGAGCACGTGCGCCAATTGCACTTGGGGTAAGTGTAAGCGCGCAAGACGCAACAAGTCTCGCGAAAATCCAGCTTTTCGGTTGATCGCGTAACGTGGCCGGACCAGGGTCATGTACACTCCAGTCCAACATACTCATCTGTAAATTCATAGATTCCTATGTCCATAGATTCTTAAACCTTTGACTCTCAAAATTGCCAAACGTGTATGTGTCAAATTGATAGAATTCCAAATGTCTCCCAGCCTAAATCTGCACTCATAAAATAATAGATTTCCAAATTCCTGAATAGTCAAATCACCAGATTACTACATTCTCCCAGAATCCTAACATCCGCAAATATACTTCAGTCTTAAAATTCCTAAATTTCCAAGTTCTCAATCCACCCCAAAATTATCCAATCTCCAAACCTCCTTAGGAGTATCAGTCTCCTTAAGTGCCTCCTCCCTAGAGAAACTAGATTTGCTCTCGACTGTACAAATTAACCTTGAACCCTTCTGCCCGATAAGATAAATTAGCGCTGCGAACGAATTCCAAGTTGCACGCGCGCGGATCGCCGCGTTCAGCCACCGGTTTAACCAAGATCACGCGGTTGTTGCAGGCCGAAAAAGTCGAACGGGTACGATAACGAGGACGACGACGACATCTCGGACCACGAGGAGGAGTTCTACTATCAAGAGGTGGCGGTGGATCACATGAGTTCACCGCCGACTATGTCGCATCGAGACATGGCCAGGCCCCCTCACGAGGACCCCGAGTATCAGAAGCAGCTTCGCCTCGAAGCGACTACCACGAATAACAATAATAACAACAATAACAACAACAGCATCGAAAGTATGATGGTCGGTATCAGAGAACGGAACACGGCGTTCACCATTTCTCCGTCACCGGTACGTTTGGTTGACCCGTTAAATAAAGTAGATAGCAGAATGGTACGAACGATAGTTGATCGGAGAAACATTGCTAAAATAGAGCCTGTCTTTTGAAGCGATCGAAGCCTGGTTCTTAATAGTTACTGTTTTACGAGGCTTTCGGGTTTAACCCATTCAAGACGGGGTCTTATTATACCGGTAGTCAGGATGCGAACTACTTATTCTTTATTTTAATCTGAAACCAATGTCAATTTTAGTCGGACCTGCTAGCGGTCCGTTGCATGGGACTCATGGACCGCAAAAGGTTATGGCGGTACTGCCCATACTCGCCACCAGAGGGATCGTCCGAAAACTCTAGCTTTCCTGTAAGTCCTCGCTCGATCACCTGTTCCTTCATACAGTATATCTGACCTGACCACAACTGTCTCCACTTCTAAGGCAAGGGTCTGCTAGGTAGAACAGGATCCGCGGAAAACAGGAGTCACGGGGTAGTAGAATATCCCTCACTTTCCAGTATCCCCAAGGTCTTTCACGATCCTTGACAGAGGGGAGACCCTAGACCCTAAGTTGATACACAAGTTCTTCGTTTTAACTAAATTTTTGGTCGAATTATTCTACAAGATATGCAATAAAATATGTGTCCTCTATGTACAAATTGCTAACAAATGTTTCTGAACGTTATTGGTTTTTGTACTTCGTACTGATGATACTATATAATTCACTAGATCATAACTCATCAGTATCTATATGAAGTATACATTTATCTCGTCCGACTGTCAACTCTGATAGTAGATTCTATCGTAATTCAAACATCGCGCCTCCATCGAGTTAGTGTTCAGTACTGTATCAACTTGTCCCGGTCTCCCCGATCCTACATTACAGGAACCAGGGTCCCAACAGTAGCTCTACGAGCGAGTCCACTAGCAGACCCAAAAGAAAACGCAAACAATCCTCTTCTCCCTTTTGCTGAATCGTAATGAGGTTAAACTCGAAAGTCTCGAAAAACTACTACCGTAAAGGTGGACCTCTATCTGTCGACCCTTGACCTACGAACACGTGGAAAGCATGCTTTCCTGATACTAATCGATTTGGTGGTGTGTTTGAAACAGGGTACGCCGATCAAGCACATAAAGCTGTCGCCACGACCGTTCCAGGCGTACCAGCAGAACACGCTGCTGCCGGTGTCGACGGGCAAGGTGCCATCGTCGCCACGACGGATCCGCGGGGAGACCAAGAAATGTCGCAAGGTCTACGGTATGGAGCACCGTGACCTCTGGTGCACACAGTGCAAATGGAAGAAAGCCCCACAACTGTCTCCACTTCTAAGGCAAGGGTCTGCTAGGTAGAACAGGATCCGCGGAAAACAGGAGTCACGGGGTAGTAGAATATCCCTCACTTTCCAGTATCCCCAAGGTCTTTCACGATCCTTGACAGAGGGGAGACCCTAGACCCTAAGTTGATACACAAGTTCTTCGTTTTAACTAAATTTTTGGTCGAATTATTCTACAAGATATGCAATAAAATATGTGTCCTCTATGTACAAATTGCTAACAAATGTTTCTGAACGTTATTGGTTTTTGTACTTCGTACTGATGATACTATATAATTCACTAGATCATAACTCATCAGTATCTATATGAAGTATACATTTATCTCGTCCGACTGTCAACTCTGATAGTAGATTCTATCGTAATTCAAACATCGCGCCTCCATCGAGTTAGTGTTCAGTACTGTATCAACTTGTCCCGGTCTCCCCGATCCTACATTACAGGAACCAGGGTCCCAACAGTAGCTCTACGAGCGAGTCCACTAGCAGACCCAAAAGAAAACGCAAACAATCCTCTTCTCCCTTTTGCTGAATCGTAATGAGGTTAAACTCGAAAGTCTCGAAAAACTACTACCGTAAAGGTGGACCTCTATCTGTCGACCCTTGACCTACGAACACGTGGAAAGCATGCTTTCCTGATACTAATCGATTTGGTGGTGTGTTTGAAACAGGGTACGCCGATCAAGCACATAAAGCTGTCGCCACGACCGTTCCAGGCGTACCAGCAGAACACGCTGCTGCCGGTGTCGACGGGCAAGGTGCCATCGTCGCCACGACGGATCCGCGGGGAGACCAAGAAATGTCGCAAGGTCTACGGTATGGAGCACCGTGACCTCTGGTGCACACAGTGCAAATGGAAGAAAGCCTGCAGCCGTTTCGGCGACTAGGCCAAGCGACCGCCCCGTTCGTACGTCCGCGGGCGGAGATTGTCGCCGAGCCGACCCCAGAGTTTGCCAATGCTACGTTAAACTTCTCTCGCCAACTGCCAGCAAAATTGCCAATTGCCATCATCGTCGTCGTCGTCATCGTCGTCGTCGCGCGGCGGCGACGATTCGACGGACACTCGATTCGCGCGAGGTCGCAGCGTTGACCGCGACAGCGAAGAGGTTACCCCGTATATCGTCCACCATCTCTTCTAGAGCCGTTCGGTCTATGGAGTTTTCGGATCCTGGAAGACCAGCGAAACGCCGAAGATCGAGAGAGACCAGGCGGTGTTGCGAACGCGGCAACACCTCTTCCTGTTCTTCTTGTACCCCGTAGTCGTGTTCCTCGGCTTTTCCCCGCCTCGAGAATGTAGGTAAACGAGAAACCACGAGTCTCGCGGAGAAACGTCAATCCCATGACGGATGGCGGACGGTTTAGAAGGGCCGATCACGCGTTTCGTGCGTAACAGAGAAGATCGTCGACGCTTGTTGTCAGTGATCGAACACAGAGAGAAGAATCAAACATAAAACGAAGAAGAAGAAGATCGTTGACCGATCGTCTGGCACTTGGCAAACTCCGTTAGGGTCTTTTTTAGCCGCAATAAGAGGTTTTGATTAGTAGATAACGAATACCTGGCGTGTACGGAACGAGGTATCCTTTGATTGTCGTGCTCTCCTCCTTCATTTCTCTCTCCCCCTTTATTTCTTCTTCTTCTTCCTGTCTGTACGTACGCGGAGAGCACGGGACAAGGCATCGTTCCTGCCGGAGCAAAAGTCCTGTTTTTTTTTTCGCTTTTTTTTGGTTCGATATATAAAAAGAAAAAGAGATACGCGCTCGCTCGAAGTCGCGGCGTGTACGCGCGTGTTTCAACGAACACGCGCTGGTTCTCGAACCGACTCTTAGGTCACTGCAATGGGTCTTCCTTCTTCCGACGAGGCGACCGCCCCGTTCGTACGTCCGCGGGCGGAGATTGTCGCCGAGCCGACCCCAGAGTTTGCCAATGCTACGTTAAACTTCTCTCGCCAACTGCCAGCAAAATTGCCAATTGCCATCATCGTCGTCGTCGTCATCGTCGTCGTCGCGCGGCGGCGACGATTCGACGGACACTCGATTCGCGCGAGGTCGCAGCGTTGACCGCGACAGCGAAGAGGTTACCCCGTATATCGTCCACCATCTCTTCTAGAGCCGTTCGGTCTATGGAGTTTTCGGATCCTGGAAGACCAGCGAAACGCCGAAGATCGAGAGAGACCAGGCGGTGTTGCGAACGCGGCAACACCTCTTCCTGTTCTTCTTGTACCCCGTAGTCGTGTTCCTCGGCTTTTCCCCGCCTCGAGAATGTAGGTAAACGAGAAACCACGAGTCTCGCGGAGAAACGTCAATCCCATGACGGATGGCGGACGGTTTAGAAGGGCCGATCACGCGTTTCGTGCGTAACAGAGAAGATCGTCGACGCTTGTTGTCAGTGATCGAACACAGAGAGAAGAATCAAACATAAAACGAAGAAGAAGAAGATCGTTGACCGATCGTCTGGCACTTGGCAAACTCCGTTAGGGTCTTTTTTAGCCGCAATAAGAGGTTTTGATTAGTAGATAACGAATACCTGGCGTGTACGGAACGAGGTATCCTTTGATTGTCGTGCTCTCCTCCTTCATTTCTCTCTCCCCCTTTATTTCTTCTTCTTCTTCCTGTCTGTACGTACGCGGAGAGCACGGGACAAGGCATCGTTCCTGCCGGAGCAAAAGTCCTGTTTTTTTTTTCGCTTTTTTTTGGTTCGATATATAAAAAGAAAAAGAGATACGCGCTCGCTCGAAGTCGCGGCGTGTACGCGCGTGTTTCAACGAACACGCGCTGGTTCTCGAACCGACTCTTAGGTCACTGCAATGGGTCTTCCTTCTTCCGACGAGGGCGACGAGGCTCGATTTCGTCGGGGCCGTCGTCGCTGCTCGGGAACGCGATCCACGATCGGACGGACAATCGGGATCGTGTGCGACCCACGTCCCGGACGAACGGAAGACCGTACATGCATATTTGGTTTGACCGATTGTTCTTCCTGGAAGGACGCAGGCGGGCAAGTTGAAATGGAATCGCGTCGAAGCGCTAGAGCCAATTGTGATATTTTCTCTAAATTTTATCGGATAATTAGACGGGCACGGGCCGACGTATAAACGTATACATATGTACAGAGGGAACGGTGACAATGGCGAGGTGAAAAACGATAGGCTGACAAAGCGTGTCGCAGAGGGGAAACAAAATTTTATACACCAATTATATATTATACTGCCAGATTAAATTAATTCAATCGAAGCGAAACGAAAAACGAACAAAAGATAAAAACATACAAAAAAAAAGAGAAGAAGACCATATTCTTGGAGCTTCGTACGCGAAACAAACGGGGGACGAAGCAGCGGGTGTGGATGCGAATTATGCGTGCGTGCGTGAGTGAGTGCGTGCGTGTGTGTCGGGCCGAGGTTTGTCTAACCTCGTTTCGACGACCTAAGATCGTGTTCGCCGACGAAGGAAAAAAAAGCAAAGAGGAGCTGCGTGCACGAAATCTAAAGGCTTCGCAGTTGAATCGATCGATCGATGTACATACAAAAACCGAGGATGAAAGTCCTCCTTTAGCCAGGATCTCGCTCTGTGGCTGACAAGTGTGCGAACGACGAACATTCGAGAGACGCTTCTATTTTTCACCTACGTATTTCAAACGTGCTCCTTTCTCGCTTTCGATCGTCCGCACGACATACAGACAAAACTTACACGTTCGTTTTGGTCACGAATCGTTCGCAGGAAAGATAAACCAAAACGCGAGGGACAAAGAAATCTGATCTCGATGACTTTTGCGGCGATGGCGGCGCGTCCTTTCGAGACCGAAGAACCGCCATCTTGTCGTCAAATTTAAATGATTCTTTATTACCGTTATTATTAATATTAATGTAATACTATTATTAATCGCTCGTTTGTTTTAACGATAAGTCTTGGGTCTCCTCGTTATCTGAAACAAGGTTCCGTCGTAAGGAGGAGACCGCTTCCATCGTGTTGATCAATGCTCATCTTTCTAGTACAATTTCATGCGATTTTTAACGCGTTCTTGCTTGCATAATTTTACGGTTAATCTCAACAGTGTACTGATTTATTTAATATTAGGGGCATGCGATTTTTCCATTGGCTAAATTTATGCATTACAAGTATTTGTACCATGAATTGGCAACAGGTAACACGTTCAAGTCGTAATGAAATCTCTTTTGAACGTATTCAGACCCGGAAGAATTAAAAAAGTTAGCCTCAGATGAACTCGCATTCTCCTAATACGAGTATGTATATTTGCGTTACGCGAGATTAAGTGGTTCGTCGAGAAAATAGCAAAAAAGCAGGAGTCACTGCAGACCGCGAAAAATTCAGCAGAAAATCAAGGGGTCAGATAATCGTCGTGACGGTACATTTTTTTATTTTTTCGCGACACACAATTGCGTATTTCCGAACCAAAGACATCTCCAATCGTGTTCCACCGTATTTCTCGTCGCCAAAAAGCAACCATCTCGAGTACTGTGTACTATACAAGGTTCTTTCTTTTATCATGTTTTCTACGTACTTAGATTCTTGTTAGCCGATTAGCAAAAAGAGTTTGGACGCGAAAAGTACGGAGTATCGATCGAGTGCCTGTTTAATTATTTCGATTTCCGTTAAATTGTACAGTGCATTGTATAATGTGCGAAGAGTACATTTAACATCGACGGCACTCGAACGATAGTATCGATATGTCATCGTGCTCGATCGAACGCAAGAAGTAGCAAGGAACACACCGTAGATCATGATCAAGGACCAGTAGGGGATTTAACGAGAAACTATTTATCGTCGATCACTTTGCAAAACGGAAGAACAACGGGAGAGCAAAGTCGCGAGGATAGAATAGAAAGTAATTGCCGTCCAAATAGGTTCCTTCTTTAGGTCAAAATTCGAATCCTAATCATGGCTTCTCGGGTGTGGAATTCTCAAATAATCGAACGCCGAATAATGCTACCGGGACGAATAAAATGCTGCATATCGTTAGTGTTGTACGTTTTTATAGTCGTGGTCCAACTGGAAACAGGACACTTAGTTATCTTGCAAATCTTTTCCTTTCTCATCATTTTTATCGATGTTTCTTAAAAGATTAGAAGGATGAGCATTTATTCAAGTGATCGATTCCGTCATCATAGTTTTTTAAATATAAATTGTTATCCTTTTTGGATACGAGTAGACTTAATTGTTGATTCTGACAGCAATCGATCGTTTAATGATAATCAGGTTCGAAGAGAATCAGTCGAAAATGGATAATAGGTGTTTCATTTTTGGTGGACCACCGTGTATGTATATTGTAACAATTTTTTAACGTTGAAATTTCTATTGAAATGAAACATTTTATCAACGATTTTTAGCGTGTCACAGGGATAGATACTATCCTTCTGTTAATTGTAGCCGTTCTTTTTTAATCTTCGTATCTAAGATTTTTTGATACGTTTTAGAGAATTTTTTGATGACCGTAACATCAAACTATGTAGTATTATTCGGCACGCGTTAAATCATTATCCTCGAATATGTGGGCACTTGTCGTAGATATTCAGAAACTGTTTTAAATTCTCTTAAACTCTTTTTCAAGGTCTTTCTCTACTTCCTCATTCTCAAATCCTATAATTCACAAACCTTCAAATTCCCAAATCAAATGTTTACATTTTCAAATTTGTTTAGGTTCAAATGTTTGCATCTGCAAATTTGTTTAGGTCCAAATATTTACATCTTTAAGTTTCAAATTTTTAAGTCATCTTAAGTAAATCTTCAGGTCCTGGATTTCCAAATCTCCTAATTCTCAGATCATCAAATTCTCAAGTCACTATCAAATTCTCGATCCCCACTTTCCACATCCCCCAATGTTCAAATCTACAATTTCCATATCCTCCAATTCTCAAGTCCCCAACTTCCATATCACCCAACTCTCAAGTCACCAAATTCTCAAGTCCCCAATTTCCATATCACCCAATTCCCAAATCCCCAAATTCTGAAGTCCCCATCTTCAATGCCCCAACTCTTAAATTCCCAAATTCTGAAGTCCCCAATTTCCATGCCCCAACTCTCAAATCACCAAATTCTCAAGTCCCCAATTTCCATATCACACGACTCTCAAATCACCAAATTCTCAAGTCCCCAACTTCCATATGCCCCAACTCTCAAATCACCAAATTCTCAAGTCCCCAACTCCCACATCACCCAATTTCCAAATCCCCAAATTCTCAAGTCCCCAACTTCCATATGCCCCAACTCTCAAATCACCAAATTCTCAAGTCCCCAACTTCCATATGCCCCAACTCTCAAATCACCAAATTCTCAAGTCCCCAACTTCCATATGCCCCAACTCTCAAATCATCAAATTCTCAAGTCCCCAACTTCCATATCCCCCAACTCTCAAATCACCAAATTCTCAAGTCCCCAACTTCCACATCACCCAAATCTCAAATCCCCAACTCTCAAATCACCAAATTCTCAAGCCCCCAACTTCCATATCCTCCAAATTCTCAAGTCTCCAACTTCCATATCCCCCAACTTTCAAATCCCCAAATTCTCAAGTTCCCAATTTCCACCTCCCTCAATTCTCAACTCCCCAAATTCTCAAATCTCCAAATTCCAAATCCCCCAATTCCCAAGTCTCCACCCTCTCAAATCCCCCAATCCTCAAATCTCCAATCCCTCAAATCCCCAACTTCTCAACTCTCCAAATTGTCCAAAACCCAAACCTCCAAATCTCCCAACCCGCCAATCCCCAAATTCACCAGCCTCCAAATATCTACCACCCCAGACAAAAACTTCCCAAATCCCCAAATATGCTCTCCAACAGTCTCCACATATCTACGACAAAAACGAAGGAAATGAACCGACGTTGCATCCTTTACTTCTTTCATTCGTGTCGCAATCTTTAGAGAATTTTGGCGGGAATCACCACGTGAACGGTCGCGGTATAAAGGATTAAAACGATCGTGCCATTCGAAATGCCAAATATTCTCTGCAAACTACTTTTTTATCCTCGAAAATCAAATCCGAACAGCAAACGAAAGCAGAAAGAAACCGACATCCAATAAAAAAAAAGTAAAAAAAAAAAAAGAAAAAAGCCGGAGAACGGGAAATTCGTAACGGAAGCTTTACAGACTTAAAGATACCTCAGGTTTATTTCATAACAGAAACGAAGACGGTAGGCCATCTTGATCGAAGCGAACGGGCAAAGTAACATCGAATCCACGTCATCGTCGTCGTCGTTGTCGCCGTGTTCGATCAAGATGGTCGAACGGTTAGGCACTGAAACTATATTTCATACGCGTATCTTGTCGCGAGATAAACGTCAATATTACTTAGTCGAATTCGTTGCAGTCGGGTCCGTTCGGGCCCGCGTTATATATTGTATAAATATTGTATCGCATTTAAAGATAGGTCGCCTGAAAACGTTCAAACGGTCGGGGACACGGTCCCCGGACATTTTGTGTGCGGACTATCCTCCAACCACGAATAGATAATTAAGTCGTTCTCGCGTGTACAGTGTTGCCGGTTAACGTGTACGTTCGATCGTCCGATCGATCGTTCGTCGAAGCTCGTTGGGATTTCTTTCACAGTCTCCGCTTCTTGCTGCCCCTCCCCCCGCAATATTATCGTGTCCTTATCGTTGTAAATCTCGCAAGAGCGACACTAAAACATAGGCGTGCCAAAGAGTCCGTTTCCGTTGGCAACACTGTACGGTCGCGATACGACCGAGCATAGTCCGCACGCACTAACCGAACGGAACGTATTATTCGATCGATTCGACCAGCGAGCCAATTAGGGCCGATCAAAAAAGAAGAAACGATAAAAAAAAAGAAGATAAACAAGAAAGATCCTGCTATTGTACGTCGAACGACACACGTTATTGTACAACGATCGCCCCGGGGATATATCGATCCAGGGCTCGGTCCAGCACGATCGTCGAGATTCGGAAAATGGGCAAACAAAATGAATACAAACGACGCGTCGCGGAAAACGTAATGGCCGGGATTAATTCATACCAAAACGATCTCATATCGATTTAATGAAATGCAATTTTTTGATCGTGCGGTCGACCGGGGGGTGTGTGCGTTGGTGCCCCCGGGTTGCTCGAGGGCATCCTGGAAAGCGACGATATCTTTCATTGCATGTACCTGTTTCTAAACGCGTCGCGAACGATGAACCGACGCGGGAGGAGAAGGCAAGCGAAATCGGTGACGAACGGTGGTCGCGTGAATCACGTTAACTAGTTATTGTTTTCATTATACCGAGGATAGACTGAAGGACCATTAACCAGGCACGAATCTACGAGATGTGAAATGGTCTACGTTGTTGATGGATCCAACTTCAAATTTCTTTGTTTAGAAATTTTGGAATTTTGCAGTTCGAAAGGATGGGGTCTTATAGGAAATTTGGGAACATGGGAAGTTGAGGAGACACTGAACAAAATTTTTAAATTGGGGCACATGAAAGATTATGGTCTTAGAAAGGGAATATGGGAAGTTAAGGCACTGTCAAAAATTTAGAAATTTGCAAGTTTGAAAAAATAGGAGAAGATGAAAGATTAGGGTCTTAGAAATTTGTGAACATGGGAAGTTGAGAAGATACTGAACAAAATTTTAAAATTGGGGCACATGAAAGATTATGGTCATAGAAAGGGAATATGGGGAGTTAAGGCACTGTCAAAAATTTGGAAATTTGCAAGTTTGAAAAAATAGGGTGTTAAAATTGGAGAAGATGAAAGATTAGGGTCTTAGAAATTTGTGAACATGGGAAGTTGAGAAGATACTGAAAAAAATTTTTAAATTGGGGCACATGAAAGATTATGGTCTTAGAAAGGGAATATGGGAAGTTAAGGCACTGTCAAAAATTTAGAAATTTGCAAGTTTGAAAAAATAGGAGAAGATGAAAGATTAGGGTCTTAGAAATTTGTGAACATGGGAAGTTGAGAAGATACTGGAAAAGATTTAGAAATTGGGGAAGATGAAAGATTAGAGTCTTAGAAATTTGGGAACATAAGAAGATATTGTCAAAAATTTAGAAGTTTGCAAGTTTGAAAAAATAGGGTGTTAGAAATTGGGGAAGGTGAAAGGTCTTAGAAGTTTAGGAATTAAAGTACCTTCTTGGAAATTTAAGAGCTTCAAAGACTCTTGGAAATTTAGTAATGTAGCTTGAGAATTTGTTAGCTAGAAGATTAAAAAACTTGAGAATTCTGAAGGTAGAAGCAAATTAGAGAATTTGGAAATTAAAGAACTTGAGACCTTGAAAATTTTATTTAGGAATGTAAAAATATCTTGGAGATTTGGTTATTTAGAAAAAAGCAATTAGTTTGAAAATTAGGAAATTTGAAATTTCTAAAGAATATCTAATGTTATGAATATCACGCGACCACAATGGTTCCATAACCACGTGTCCCTTGCCTGATCGTCTTGGACCGCGTTGCACTTGGTCGATCGCGCAAAGCAAAGACATATTATTAATAGTATATTATATTATATTATATTATTATTATATTATTATTATTATATTACCATTATTAATTATTAATTTTTATTGATTATTATTACCATCGTCATCGTCATTATCATTATTTTTAAAAAGAAGAAAAACTATTTACTAGCATCACTAACGATACGGTTAAGTGATTTGTTAAAAGAAAATGAAAACACGCGAAATCTTTATTATCGATGCGTTAGTGGGACTTGATAGTATTAACGCAATACTCGATCTATCGAACCACGTATCGAGCTGACCATGTTAAGATCCGAAAGAGTGCTGGCACGTGCAACCAGCGACTCTTTTTATTAAGCATATGTGAAATTCTTTATATCCGTATATCGCTGCAGACGCTTCTATTTATCGAAGGAACGCATCGTAGATTATAATGCTGTGGTTATGTCACATTACACGACACTCGAATTTATTCTTCGACTGAGCAAACATGAGTCACGTTTCAGTGTAAATTTTATCGAGACTATCTCCTTATTGTAATAAACCTGTCCAACAAAAGCGTATCAACTTATCGATTCATTTTGCTATATTAACCTCTTTTGGACCAAATTCAATACCTCTTCATTCTATGCTAAATTTTTATGATAAATTTGATGGAGTTTTTATGAAAACCCTCTTGATACCTCTTGATCAAATATAAATTGTACACGAATTGGTCCTCAATAGGTTAATGAAAGATTAAGCAGTCAAATCGTACTTTAAAAAAAGAATAGATAAGCCTAAAATTTCCTCTCGTGTTGAACCACTTAGTATTTGTACGTTCAAAAAAATGGCGCGATATTTGAAAAGCAATCACTATGCAACAACACTGAATGTTTGACTGGCTAATCTATTTGGTTGACACGCGGATGTTCGTCGCACGACATGGTCGAAAGACAAGGAACAAAGTTTATTAGTGAACAGTAATTGTAACGGCGTGAACAAACCGTAAGTTTAATTGTAATTGGGCTATGGATTAGATCGTCAATCTTGTTTTCTTTCTTCTACTTGTTAGATCTACTTTAACAAACGAAGTAATAATGGTAGACAAGAAAGAGTTTAGTAATAATTAAAATAGCCGACAAATTGCCGTGCTATTAGGTTTTAATGACATATTTTGCGATACGCGTGTATTGCCAAATTGTACTTTTAGAAAACATTTTATTTTATTGTCTAGAATATTTTATTTATTCAAAGAAATTTATATATATATACACACACACATATAAATATATATATTTCGTTTTTTATATAATGGCAAGGTAATAAAAGGGACGGTGTATCGAATGCCTTTTAGCTAAGCTGTGTATGATTACATTTATCGTTCCATTGTGATAGTAATGTAGATAATTTAGTGATTAGAATGTCGTTAATTTTTTGTTTTTTATTTCGACTGACAACGGTCTTTCAACTGTGTACTGCATAATATTTATTTCGTTGCTCAAAAACATACATGTAACTTATCGGAATGATAAACGAGTATAAGGAGAACCTTTCTTTTTTCGTCGTATTAAACGCTTTAATACTCGTGCCATAATGAGACATAATCGCAGCTTCGAATTATTCGCCCGCCCAGAACGAAACTTAACCCTTTCGTCGCGACGTCGAA